TACAAGGAACAAGTTGCAATAGTCGTTTGGACCGATTTGAACATTTGAACTTATTAAAATCCACGTTAAATCTCATTTTTGGACTTTTCCAAAGTGTTCAATTATCTTTGAGGCTTATTTGCGCCCAAACCAGCCGGAAATCTCAAACTTTACTTATCCGCGGCGTCCAAGGTCAGAGTCTAAGGAGTAAAGTGGGCTTTGAACGGGGTGTCTGCGACCAAAATTGACTGAGATATGACGTCATGACCGCACCGCCGCAGGCGGGGACCGGCAGCCCGGGCAGGCGGGAGCGCCAGCCCCGCGCCCCGAGAGGTGCTGGAGAGCGCTCTCACGACTCAACCGTTAGATCTGCAATACTGGGCAAAGGCCCTTAACATTTTTTTTAAGGTTCAATGAAAATTGAACAAAAGTATATTTGGCCCATTTGAACATGGCCAATATTTGTTGAAAGATTGGTTTGGGGCAAATGAAGACTTATTTTCCCTGTTTTTCTTGCGGCGTGATACTACTTGCAGCCATAACTAATGTTTGATCACAAATATTTGAACGGTGACTTTCTTTAATTTATGTGACTGTATTAACTCTGGCCGCATGTCGTTGCGGCCTCCCTGTCAGCAGAAGCCGGCCGCCGTGGCGCGGCCGTTCGTTGTTTCAACAATGGTCTAACCGGCCGTGTCTATTATTGGCTCTCCCAAACTCGTCTCTTTCGTATTGCTATTCGCTTGCTGCATTTAGTCAGTTTTGGGTGGAAAGAATTACTTTTCTTCATATAACACTGCCTAGAGGAGGTTGTCGCCACCGCAACGGCGCTTGTTTTATTTTATGCTGCGGACGCTACATAGCATGAATTGAGTTGAGAGAAATGAGTAATAAGAATAAGCAATGCGTCGCATCTGTGGGGCCGAATTTATTAAAGACAGTGGAGATCTGACGGGCAAGGGCATAGGAGGTTTGCTTAAATTTAGTGTTCAGCGAAATGACGGACTGAGAGAAAAGGTGAAAGGCCGTTCCGTCGTTAGCGTGCACAATTCCTGCTATAAAGGGTACATAAGCCGGATAGGCAAGAATGAAAACGTCTTCGTCAAGTCGAGCTCTCCTAGCCGGCCCCCTCTCCTCCGGTCAACAGCAGTCCAAAATTTTATTTTGGGACGACATGCTCGGTCATGCTGCTTCCTGTGCTCCAGGGAAGACCCACTGCAGAGCTCAGGTGAAGGTCTTTATAGAAAACGTTTTCTTT